AATAAAGCAGTAAAATCACTCACTTTTAAGAATATTGTAATTGTTATTCAAAAAAATAAGTATCATATGTTTTGTTATAAAATATAAACAACTATATAAACTGTTTAGTGAAACATTACTTAATAAGTAGAGAAAGTAACCGGAGCTGAAAGTTGTTCACAAAACTTCTGGCTCACACTTATATATCAAAGTCCTTACCAATGTTTTTCTTGTTTCATAAATTAGATATTAAGTGCATATAAATAACTAATTGAATTTTGAAAAAAATCTGGTCCAATCAGGAAAAGGAGTCAATCAATCGATTGTGAGACAAATTAATTGCACATATATTTTATTACACATTGTTTTCAATGGTGTCTTATCTATGATCGCAAGGCTTTCGCGAAAACATTTTATTTTCCGTAGAAATCTATAGTTAATATTGTGTTCAGAGAGAGAGAGAGAGAGAGAGAGAGAGAGACTATCACTAACTTCTGGGTGACTAACGAGACCTTAAGGTTTCTCACTGAAAGGTTAGCCACAAATGAAAAAAGCCTTTTACTCCTGAAAAAGGTCTACTATTTATGTATTTTCTCTCTCTTTAAGGATATCTTCTTCTGGATCTGTTTTGGAATTTTAATTCTCTCTCATAATGACTACATCTTCGGGCAGTTTTTGATCGCAATCTTCTGTATTACTCTCTAATGTTTTTGCGAAAAGTTTTTCATGTCTTAAATTTGCTAATTATTAGTGCATTAGTGTATGGTATGATTGGCATAAATGCTAATAAATACAGTACAAACTTAGATCGACTTATGTGTGTGTTTTTCCATAGGTGTGAGTTCCTAATTTATTGGTAAAAAATTTCACTTCAAATAAAAATTACATCAAAAATTAAAAGGTAAAGTAAAATTACTGTAAAAAGACCGATAAACAGTCACTAAAATACAAACTTTTATATTTTGCTTGTTTGCTCAATTATTATTCAGATTGTGTACAATACAATGATATCCAATAAAATACTGTATGTCCATGATATAATATATTCTGTCAATTTTGTTATGATTATTTACTATGTTTGAAAAATATTTTGCTTGTTTGCTCAATTATTATTCAGATTGTGTACAATACAATGATATCCAATAAAATACTGTATGTCCATGATATAATATATTCTGTCAATTTTGTTATGATTATTTACGGTTTAAAATGACTACATATTCAATTTATTTAAATTGACAGTTTAAAAATAAAAATTTACTTAAAATCAGTAAATTATAATTATTTATTTTATTTTGTTTATGCGATTTTATATCAATCATTAATAACAACATTGTTTGACAAGATTTATAAAATAAATTTTAAAAATTCCAATATTATTTTGTAAACATATGATTAATATAAATTATTTCTAATAACACTTTCTAGTAAATGTACTTGTTAATTAGCACAGAATACTGAATAGTACTCTCACTGTACTTAAAAAATAAATTTTATTATACTTTCAAACTTAGAACTGATGTTGTACTAAAATTAATTAATTATTTTGAAAAGATTAAATTACCAAGTTTAAAGTAATTATCGGAATTTTTTAAAAATTACATACCGATTGGTAAATTGGGGTTTCGATAATGAGTACTCAAAAAAAGTTCATTTTTATTTATAGAAATTCATGTTTTTATTGATAACTAGAGGTATGTTTTTTCTGTCTATTAATAAATCCAATTTATATTTACGTCACAACAACTAGACTTAGGTTTGAAGTTTGGTTTGATTTTTCCACTTCTCAAAACAATCCGGATTTTTAATTTTATGGATTCATTGAAAAAGGTTTCCCAAAGTTTCCACTTCGAGAGAGAGAGAGAGAGAGAGAGAGAGAGAGAGAGCGTGGATGAAACAAAAGTGACCTTAATTTGACTTAACCTTCAGATGATTGAACTGATAATACAGTGTATAATATCTGCCTTAAGGACCAGATCTGGGTATCGTTGATATCCATGAGTGCAGTTCGGACTGGGCTTACAGTGCACTCTAGTCTCGTTACTACACGTGTAGTCGTAATGTCAACATTCAAATCATTTTCTGGAATAGAAAACGAAAGTTATATTAAAAATACATTTTCGTTATAAATGACTATCAAATACTGATAACGTATGATATATGACGTAAAATACGCCTAAACTTATACAGAGTATCTGCACTCTGTTTACTCAATAATCTTCAATTAGATTCACAAATCATTATCAATAATATCTCAGATATTTTCAATGCAAAAACTTTTAATCTTTTAATTATTTTTGTAAGAATCTCATAAATTAGTGTTTCAACCCTTTAGCTAATTATGTGTTAATATTATATATCCCTATCTATATATTTCCTATGAATCCAATTATTATTACATGTATTATGCTGATTTCAGTTAAATTATTAAATTATCATTTTAATAATGTATATCAGGGTAATTTTTCATATAAATATTTTGGCTGATCACGACTAATGACTGGCTAACCCTTTTTTGGTAAGTTAGTGAACTCAGCCCTCAAGACAAATGTTTATTAAAACAGGAATCTGTGAGCACTTCAGTCCAGTACTATTGTACTGTATGTGAGACCCAGACTGGTTCAAATCGGTTAGGTGAACCGGCTCATTCACTGACCTTTGATTCAGTTAATTAAGTGCAAACATTTTTTGACTATTAATAATTTATTATTAATATATTGTAGCTAAAGTCATTGAAATTAAACTAATTTATCTGTATAGTGATAGAGATAATTCTGTATAAATTATAATTTCAAAGAATTATACTTATATTTACTGATCAATCGATTCTGTAATCATATTTTGAGCTAGATAAGTTTATAGTATAATAATAATTAGTGATTTAAATGTAAATAATCTATTTTTCAATTTTAATTTTCATCTAATTGAGAATAATCATGAATATTTTTTAATTTAAAATAGTATTTAAGTTAACTGTATATTTGAATGACATTAGTTAACAGATAAATAATCAAATATAGAGATAGTCCTATTTGCTACAACCTTGTACACAATTCTTGTCATTTCTAATGCTTTTTAAATTTTTATAATAGTTTTTTATTAATTTACAAACTTATTAAATTATCACTGTTTTAATAATATAAAATACATTATGATTTATAGACTATATTAAATTGACAAGGTTATAAGAATAACTAAAACTATTATTTAAACAAGTAAATTTTTATATTATTTTAAATCAATAACTTTTTTATAGCGTCTAAATCTTTTCCAAAAGTTAAATATAATTTCTAATAAAATAATAATGCTGCAAAAATTTGTAATTTATTTTAGAATTTATAAATATTATGTAAAATTTAATAAATAAAATATTTAATATAAATTATCATCAAATTGTATTTTTTTAATATTATAAATAATATTGCATATTTTCAATATAACATATAATAATTTTATTATTTTAAAATATTTAAGTATGTTAATCTAGTATCAACATATTGTTTTACATTAATTATTTAGTATTTAATGTTTTACATTAATAAATTCTTTACATCAAATTATTGTAAAATGTCTGTAAATTAAAAATACAAAATTATTAATAATATTTAATATCAATACAATATTGTAATTAATTAAAAACCCATTCAAATATTGTACAGTATATTAAACCATGAAATAGCTTCATTTTAATTAATTTAATTAATTATGGACATATATCAATCAAATTATTATAATTTGTAATACAACTATAATTTGTAATAGTAATAAAATATTATATGTTGTTTAATTATTAATAAGATTGTAAATAAGAATTATTAATCATATGCAATACATGCAATACATATGTATATTTAATTATTAATTATAAATAAAAAGGTGTAAATAATATCGTTTGTATTATACAGTATACCAAAATAGTTATTTTTACGATACAGTAACACATTTTGATAGGTGCTTGAATATTTATTCTGAATGTGTAGCCATGTATTTATAAGTTGTGCAAAATAATTCAATATTATTCAATTAAATATCAATACAAGGCCAGATAAGTACTCTAAATATAATTATGCACTTTAATTAAGTACATTAATTAGTTTATCAAATAGTTTTTTATAAAAAATATTTATAAAGCAATGTTTATGTGATGTAGGTATCATTTATTTTAGTAAACATGAGTCTACATTGTTTTCTTAGCAATATCATTGCTAAACCCTTTCGTATAATCGTTTTTAAATCTCGTATTTTGGTTGATATCGGGTTTGCAAATGGATTTGTACTCCTTTTGGTGCAGTTTTATCATCTGTGGCGTCGATTTCAGGACATAGGATCTGATGAAGAAATTCATAAATAATATGAAGAATAGGAAGTAAAGAGAAAATCCAAAGATCGCCACTCGTTTGGACAAATCGCACGGAATGCCCGACAGTTTGTAGTGAAGGGCCAAGTAGTTGATGAAGAGTCCGGCAAACATTTGTGCGATTTGTAGGGATGTTATGGTGATGTTGACCACTCTTGGGATCACGAATCGCATGGCTTTCAGTGCATAATAGGTGTACATCATTGAGTGGATGAGGAAATTCATGTTAACCATCCAGCGGGCAGTGGCCGGTACGTCGCCAAACACGTACCACGAGTAGGTCAGTGTCAACACGTGATGCACCCAATGAAGTGTTATTAGTCTCTGTTTTCTCAATACTATGAACATTGTGTCCAACAGTTCCAGTGCTTTCGATAGCGTAAAGAATAAATACCAGACATTGAGTCGAGCGTCCTATCAAAATGATTTCATTAAATTAATTAACTTTTAACATAAAAATTAATTATTGAGAATAAGAGAGTTTATTTTTGTACTTAAATTAACTTTTTATTATAACTTAACATAACTAAAATATTTTAGTAAAAATAATTTATAAAGTGCTCGTTAAGTTATATTATCTATTAATTACTTATAAAATAAATGTTTTTATAATAAGGTGAGTTACCAATAATTATAAATGTTATAGTTAGTTTAGATAAATTAAATAAAAGTTAATATTAAAAGTTACAAACCAAGCGATAAATAATTTATTAAAACTTAAATTAATAGTTTATTAGATTATGTAAGTTTATAATAAATGGATGCCTCGAGTCTTTAATTAGAGGTTCAATAGTCTTAATAAAAGATCACTTAATATATTCTGCACTCATTCCCTAATTCACAAAAAACTTTCACTTATTTTTCTCACAACAAGTTTGAGGTCAATATCACAGAATTGACTACAAGTTTCTGTATTATTATTTATGTAACCATATC